CTAATTCATCCTTACCCCCAGCCTCAGGGTTAGATCCTCGTAAAGAACCTAACCAGGCCATGGGGCGCCTGGGTGGCTCAGTCGGTTAAGCGACTGCCTTCGGCTCAGCTCATGATCCTGGAGTCCCGGGATCGAGTCCCGCATCGGGCTCCCTGCTCAGCGGGGAGTCTGCTTCTCCCTCTGACCCTCCCCCCTCTCATGTGCTCTCTCTCTCATTATCTTTCTGTCAAATAAATAAATAAATAAAAAGAACCTAACCAGGCCTATGTATCCAGCACATGTCAACTCTGGTCAAAAGTCAGAATCTCAGGGCGCCTGCATGGCTCAGTCGGTTAAGCATCTGACTCTTGATTTCGGCTCAGGTCGTGATCTCAGGGTCATGAGATTGAGCCCCGCGTTGGGCTCCACATTGGGCACAGAGCCTGCTTGAGGTTCTGGCTCTCCCTCCCCCTCTGAGCCCGCCCCCACCTATTCTCACTCACTTTCTCTCTCTCTCTCTCAAAAAAAAAAAAAAAGTCAGAATCCCTCAGGATAGTTTATGAATGCAGACTTCGAGTCCTCACCCCAGACCAAATGAATCTGGCCTGCCTGGGGTGGGACTTCTGCACCCCCTAATGATTCTGGCAAAAAGGTCTGAATCTGTTGCTGCCTCCAGACAGTACCACTCTACATCCCCTGGAGAGCTGAAGCTTGTTTTTTTGTTTTTTTTTTTTCTTCCAGGAAAAGATAATTAGAAAGATGCTTTCCATGGCAATGGAATCTATAATTTTTTTAAAGATTTTATTTATTTGTTTGAGAGAGAGAGCGCGAGCATGAGTGGGAGGAGGGGCAGAGGGAGAGGGAGAAGCAGACTCCCCGCTGAGCAGGGAGCCCAACTCGGGGCTCGATCCCAGGAGCCTGGGATCATGATCTGAGCCGAAATTGAGAGTTGGATGCTTAAGCGACTGAGCCACCCAGGCGCTCCAGGAATCTGTAATTCTGATGGCCTGAAGTTCTTCCTAAGCCTAAACTGTATCCATCACACTAAATGTAAAGTTCTCGGAGCTTCTGTGCAGTGAACACAAGGAGCACAGCTCTGTTACAGTCTAGCCTCCACTTCCTGGGAGAGATGCAGCGGATCCTCCAGGTTCTGAAGTTCAGCAGGAGAACCAGGCTTTAGCCCGAGGTTCCTGCATTTGACTTGTCTCTACCGTGCCCCCTGGGGCTGTGGCTACTTCCCAGTGGACGCAAAACCGAGTCGAACATTGTACCCAGGATTCTGACCCAACCTCTACCCCAAAGGACAAGGGGGTGGGAGACTGACCTATTCCCAATAGGCAGGTAAAAACAAAACCAAACCAAATAATCCAGGGCAGTGAGGTACGGAGGGCCCCGGAGGCTGGTCTTGGGACAGGAGCTATTAGGAGCTTTTCCAGGCACTCAAGCCCACTGCACACTCCTCCCCTACAGAACCTGGAGAGAACCTGAAGGAAGCTGGAGTGGACCTGGTTCACTCACTGCAGCAAAACTCAAACCCCGCGGGACAGGATGCCCACCCTCAGCAGTCCCATTTTCTCTGGGCTCCACAGGAGACAGAAACGAGATGTGTGATCTGGAAAAGGAAGAAAAAGCCTCTGCTGCCGATGACAACGTCATCTGGCGTTTCAATGGTATGGGAATTCTCGGCTCGGCTTTGTGGTGGAATTTGTATGGGTATGAGCTCGACCTTATCAGCGTGATCATAAACTCCTCAAAGATGGGGACTCTGAGTTCTATTTGTCCAACTCAGAGCCGGGCAGAGAGTAGGGGCTTGTTACAGGCGAGCCAGAGTAACAGTGTGCTGGGTCCCCGGGGCCCTGGCCGGGGCTAGACGCCCAGCAGCAAGGACGAGAGCCACGTCTGCCACAGGTGCTCATTCTCCAGGCAGAGTGGAAATGCCAGCCCGTGGAGGAGTCCGGGAGATGTTCAAACAGTTCTCAGGGTCCCCCCGAACTCCAGCCTGAATCAGGCCATTCCCAAGAGCTCCCCTTCTCCTCCCTCCCCAACGCCTGGACACACACAGCCCCAAACTCCCCAACTCATCTCCTAGAAGATGTCTCCGAGTCACTTAACCTCACCCTGCATTATTTGTCAAGACTCCCATTTAAATATTCTAGATGCTATCAGGGTTTCCAGTTTCTTGTTTGACTGCTGAGCTCCGAGGACCCTTATAGCTCATCTGGTCCAGTCATAACCCAGAAGCAGGATGTGACCAGCCTTTTGGTTTCTTTAACAGAAGACGAGAGAATAAGAGACTCTAGTAGAGAATGTCAGAGTATGTCACATGTAATAAGGGTGAGCTCCATTTCAGGAAATTTTCAGTTATGTACACATCGAAGTGTCTGGGAGTTGCAAAGCCAAATGCATTTCTTCTAATGAGTCACGATCACAAAACAGCTTGAAAAACACCAAGCCATTTTCTCATGTTGCCAGTAAGGAAACTGACGCACAGAGAGGTAAAGCTAGTTGTCCGAGGTCACACAGCTGATCAGTGGCAGTGCCTGGGCCAGAGCTCAGGTTTCTCCTGCCTCCTATTTTAGTGCTCTGCTCACTACAGCCTGCAGGTCTCTGGTTCTGCACCCAGAGAACACCCCTGGAGTGCGACTGGCCAGGGAACCCAGGAATCCCCAGTCCCACCACAGCTACCCAGCCAGGAGTGGGCCTCCATCAGCTGACCCAGCGCAGGTGTCCCTGGCAGGGATATCGACAGAGGATGGGTACGGAGGGCTGGAACCTATGGCCGAGCTCATTTTGCACATGCAGCCGAGAGTGGCCTTGACTTTCACCTCAAGAACTTTTTAATAATCATTAAACTGGGGCAAAAGCACTAAAAGAGGCCACTTTAGGATGAATGTGAGGGCTTGCCGGCTCTGACACCAGCCAAAAGCATGGCTCTCTCCCTGTGGAAGGGCAGGCCAGCACAAGCACCCTGCAGTGAAGATTCCAGGCCGCGAGCTGGATCACTGCCTGCCCATTCGGGCTATGACCACTCTCACCCTGCTTGGGTGATAGAGTACCCTCCTCTCTGCGACGTGCTGCCTGAGTGTTTCTGCAGCTCCTTGGGGTGATCAACATTGGGGTCAGAGGAAAGTGGGGGTGCAGGGAGGGTCAGAAACGAATACAGGTGAGAAAACCAAGGCTCACAGAGGCCAAGAGACTTGAGCAAGCTCACAAGGCTAGCTGGTTGGAGAGCCACACGTGACTTAAATGCAGAGCTGACTGCCAGCTCCCCATCTCTCAAATCACACACAAAGCACCTGGACATCTTGTAACAGTGCAGACTCAGTAGGGGTCTGGGGAGCCTTGAGATTCTGCATTCCTAAGAAATTTCCAGGCGATGCCAGGGCTGCTCGCTCTACACCATGTTGTCTGGAAGGATAAAGGGGTCTTTGAAGTTCACCACTGCTTCTATCAAGCCTCAAGCTCTCCACTTCCGCCAGCGAATCCTCTAAGACTGACAAACAGACTTATTTAAAATAATAAGGATTATTACTTTAACGTGCATCAAATACTTATTTTGTTAACATCCCTATCTTACGCATAAGGAAGCCAAGACTCGGAGAGGTTGAGTAGCTTAGCCTGAGTCACACAGCTCGCAAGCGGCGCAGCCAAGATGTAAACTCAGATCTGTCCTGACTCACAGCTTTGTCAGCTAAAAGCTGTGCAGAACTCTACCCTCAACCCTTCCTTTCTCTGAGCCTCGGGAGCCTCTCCCCAGAATGCTCATGATACTCCTCCAGCCAAACCGTGTTTTCCCCAGCACTACTTGACCACAACTTTCTCATAACTCAGGCTCCTAAGGGTCCTTTTTTCCAGACCTGCGTATACCCAACGGACCCCAACAAGTTCTTTTTAGAGTTGATCTGGGGGAGGCACGAGATGCAAAGGAACTCAGGGCAACGTGTGGATAGCTGATCTATGCTGTAAGACACGTGGTGATCTCCTTCTAAATCAGGGCTTGCATGCTCTCCCCAAGGCCATGTTGGCGGAGGCTCTGAAGTCTAGCAGCCTGGACTCTGAAGCCCTGTCCCCAGGAGGCGGTGCTAGGCACTAGGAGTTTTGCAAGGAAGGGCGCGTGGTCTGTGTTGGAAGCGTCGAGGACTCCCGTGCAGGGAGTGATCTCTGGGCGGGGACGAGAGTGCGTGGCAGAATTACTGCAAGGACTGCTTCGGCACGCTTCCGAGGGCTACCCAGACCCAGCCCTGCGTTTTGGCCACACCTTCAGGATGATGAACCATCCTTAGCTACACCATGCTTCACCCAATGTGAGCTCCCTGCTGTGACGTGCATGTGATGACTCTGGACACATGCAGCACCCATCCCCACAGGTGGATGAACATCCATGTGGCTGGCCCCACGTCTGTGGCACAAGGCTGACTCCGGCTGGCTTCAGGTCCAGGGCTCACCTTGCTGGGGCTGCCTCCTCCAAGCAAAGGAGAAGAGCTAGAAACCACTAATGACTGCAGAGGCCCTGGCGGCCAGGAGGCAGCAGGACGGATGTGAGGCTGTGATGCTCCAGAGAGTGGTCAGAAGGGGACTCAGTGGGGCCCAGAGCTGGTCTGTAGTTGGGGGGTAGGCCCGGGGTGTCAGGGCCTCACTGTCTAGAGGCAGGGACAGTGGTTTTCCAACCAGTCTCGGGTGCCAGGCTATCTCGCTCTGAATGCTGGCTCTGCCACTTACAAGCTGTATGTCCTGGGGCATGTCATTCACCCTTCAGGACCTTGATGTCTTTATCTATAAAATGGGCATAACAGTGAATAGTCCAAATGAGCAGGTGTATATGTTTAAATAGTGCCCAGCATATGGTGAGGGCCTGATTAATGTGAGCAAGGGCTTAAAAATATTTGTACTATTACTATGACAGCCACAGGTCCCAGTCTCCACTCTGGCAGACCGTGACAGGGAGCCTCCCGGAATGAGAAAACGTACTCTGTGTTTCTGTTTCTCACACCCGGGTACAGTGAATGGCTGAGGCTGGGGACCTACTTTTTCAAGGCGCACTCCAGTTCGTTCTTCTCCTCATGGGCTTCTTGGAGCTGGGAGAAGGTCCTGGTCAGGAAATCCTCGAAGTTGGCCAGTAAGTGAGGTTCGTCCTTCTTCAGCTGTAGCCAGAGTTGCTTGATATCACTTTCACTACAAGAGAAAGGGGCGCATTAATGTCCGAGTGTGGAAATACCACGGTTCCCAGACATGAAACTGACAGCCAGAACGTCATGATCATGATCACGATGGCCAGCACTTATCGAGTGCTGGCTGTATGCTAGGTACTCTACGCATATAAGCTTATTTGACCCTCTCGGTAACCTGTGAGGCTGGTGCTCTACTCACCCCCAGAAGAGGGTGAGGTGAGCTGTCTCAGATCACTTGGCTGGCAAACGACACAGTCAAGAGTCAAACTCGGGGCTGCCTGGCTCCTGTGTCGACCTCCTTCACCCCGCACGCCACTGCTTCCACTTTCCAGTTTTTCCCTATGGGCTGGTGGTGCTGAGCATGCACAGCCACGTGCTGGGAGCATCGAAGAATGGCAGGAAGAGGAGAGGAGGACAGGAGCCTGGTGCGTGTGAGGACTAACGCCGTGGAGCTAAAGGAGAGAGCTTGTCGCCCCAGGAAGGACGGTCCTCATAGCTGAGAGGTAAAGACATGCCATCTGATGAATGGCAGAAAGCAGTTGTCACCGCGGGGAATGGAAGAGAATACGCAGCACCCCACTGGGGCCCGGTGGCAACGGGAATGACTGACAGGCAGAAGGAAGGGAAGGCGCCAATCTTCGAGATGCGTGTGCACACACGGAACGACAAATAGAAAGTTGGCAGGGACACAGGCAGGCAGAGAGACAAAGACACACAGTGACGTGCCCAGAGCGTCCCCTCCCCCAGCCCCACCCCCGGCTAACAGGCACATAGGCAGGTGTGCACCGCAGAGCAACAAAGACACGTGGGGCCACACTGACCCGGGACAGGAGGAAGGAGGCGGTGGCACACACCGGGGACCATGCTCTGGAGAAACTCGAAAATCTATGGCCACCCATCACACGGAGCCCAAGATCAATCTGATCTGCAACCCAGTAAATTCTAAAACCACTATGATCTGAGGGTAGCTACAACCGGGAACCCTCAGGATAAAGAATAAAATCCTCTGTTCTTGTGTGACAAGTACTATATTTGAGCAACTTTCCTTGGAAGTGCTATTTGCCAGCACCAGGTTAGCAATGGGCCTGGGCCACGAGAGTACTCTCTGCACCCAGCACAGGGAGGCCCACTGAGAAGGGAGGGTACCGCTGGTCAGTTATCGGATCATCCATCCACTGCCCCTCCCTCCTTCCTTCCCTTGCTGTCCTCCAACTCATCAGGACCACTCGTCCACCCATCACCCAACGAGTACTTCTTATCTGTTGGAACCCAGCACTGAGATGACATGAGGTGATCCGGGAAGCAAGGGAAGGGGAGGGAGGAGCTTCCTCGTTTCCCAGAATGAGTTCTGTTTCCCCACCCACACAGAACAGGCTAGGGCAGTCCACTTTGCTGTACTGTAGATACAATGGAGATGGTACAAGGGGTTCAGAGATACAAGAGTCCCAGAGACATACGATGATGGCCTCCCATGATTGGGGCAGGCTGCTTCCCTCATGAAGTACCTGCATTATAAGATCAAGGTCCACCTTGTTAGCCTTGGTCTGTCTGTTCACATCTGCCAAGTTCCTGCCGAGACAGCCAATTGGCCAGAGCCTCCAGTGAGATTTGCAGACCCACCTGACTCTCTTCCAAACCTTTCCAAACTACTTCGTCATGGCCACATCCCCTCCCCCCAAAATTTCTGGAGAAGGGACAAATCTGTCCATTCTTGATGAAAAAATAAGCCAAGGCCCATAAGCTGCCAAATCACTCAGCTAGTTGGACCATTGGGAAAAGCTGGGAGTCCAGACATCTGGTCTACCGCTTCTGCTCCTCATGAAAGGGTGGTGGACTCAGAGAGCAGGGCTAGACGGTATTCTGGGAGGTCAGCTGACCCATCTGCCTGCTCCCAGAACAATACACAAGCCATTCTGGGGAGTGAATCTTTGAAGACCTCCAAAGTCTTCACAGCCTCCTTTATGTCCTTCTCTGGGGCCCGGTGGTTTTGCCATTCCCCTCATGCTGCAACACCAGCCCGCCGCCTTCCATTTAGCTTCCATGGGGATGGAGAGTTCTGGCCGCCATCTTCTGCATATCAGTTTCTGTAACCACCCTTGAAACCTTTCCTAGGGCCTTCTCTTCCCCAGGATGCCTCATGCTGGCTCAGTTCCTCACAGACCTCTGACATAGGCCCTCCGAGGAACATCAGGTGAACTCTGCTTTGAGAGCCCTGCTAGGAAGGGGGCTGCCCCAGAAGGGACAGGTGGGTGGAGAGGTGCCTCTCTTTCATGCCAGTGCCGTGGCTCATCCACACTGCCCTCTCCTCCCGCTCCTCCAGGAGGAGGTTTCACGGGGTCACTGGCAGTGGTCCCTGGGCTCTGGCCTTTTGTCTTCAGAGAAGCTGAGTCAGGTCTCTGACTAACGTACCTCCCACCCACCTGCCCCCGTCCATGGGCTCAGATGGTTAAGCGTCTGCCTTCCGCTCAGGTCATGATCCCAGGGTCCTGGGATCACCCCGGGGGGCAAGTGCACCGACCATCCAGAGCCTCTCACCGGGCTCTCTCCCAGGCCTTTGACTGTCCTTCCTCAACTATGATGCAGTCTACCAAATCGTTTGCTCAAAAATCCACAGAGCTACAGATTCTTGCTTTGGCCTGAGTGTTGTGTGCAGGCCCCTCCTTTCCTGCTACTTCTTTATCATTCCCAACCACAGCTCCTTCACCTCCCAAGCTTGGGACGCATCAGCTCCAATCATCAGGCCATTCCTACTCCTGCAACACACACCCAACCCAAGACTGAGAGGCCCAGAAATGGAAAGGCAAAAGGCAATGGGAAAAGGGAGAACAGTATTCCGTGGTTTTTAGGCCACTGGTTTCCACCAGCTGTGACTCCACTTTTTATTTCATTTCATCCTATTTTTATTTCATTTCATTTTAAATGTCAGATACATTTTGGAAAAAAAAAATGGGGGTATTGTGTTTCAGTTGAAGTTGCAGCCATCTGAAATTTTCAGCTGAGCTGCTGATTATCCAAGTGGTGGGCTGGTAAAAACTGGTTAATTTCCCGCCTCAGCTTCCTGACGGGCTTAGCTCGGCTCAGGGACACCGTGTGCAAATGCCTCCACGTGAGGTGCCTCGGCCAGGAGCACGCCACTGTGGGGTGGGCCGGGCTGCCCTGCAGCCCCTGAGACCCAAAGCTGGCTCCGGGGGCGGGGGTGGGGGAGGAGGAAATGCTGGTGAGCTGGCAGGGATGAGGAACCCCAGCAAAACGCACAGAGAACCCCTCCAGGCCCGGCACGGTCCTCTGCTGCATAGTGCTCCTCAGGGAGCCAAGGACTGTGCTGACACTGTATGGTAGGAGTGCGGAGAGTGGGAGGGTAGGGGCGTCGCAGTGCTTCCCATGAGAAAATGCAAAGAGCAGAGACAAGAGTCTGCCAAGTCTTCTAGCTGGCAGCCCAGAAACTGGGGCCTAGCTGAGCACTTAACACACACTGATGTCGCACAGGGCAGATGAAGGGGTGGCTCCTAGGCAGGGCTCCATCCCCCCAGTCCCTGTCACCACTTACTCTTCAAAACCCTTTTGGGCTCCAAGTTTGTCCATCAGCGTTTGGAACTGGGTCTCCTCATCGTCATCCATGGCGCCCACATGCTCTTCCCCTCTGGACTGATACACCTTCTCTTCCTGGAGCTGGGCCATCTGTTCACCGGCATCTTCCTGACCTGGCTCGTTCAGGCTGAAGAAGAAGTGACCTGGAGGATGCACAGCACAAGGATCTGAATCAGGCAATCAATAAATACTCACCCAGGGAGACCTTATCATTCTCAGTTGCCAGGAATCATCGGAGGCTCATCTGAGAGAAGAAAAGGGGGCCCCCTCCCCCCACAGCAAATATTCTTGCCACCATCTTCTGGATTTGGGGACTTTGCTACTTCCACGAGATTCTGAGAGACGCTAGAGCCTGGGAAAGGCGGAATGGATAACAGTGCTGTGGCACCTTTGTGGTTCTCGAACCTTTAAAGTCTGGCTTAGAGCTCATCTCTTCACTGATTTCCTCTCTAAACAATAAGAGCCTCCCCTCCATCGACCACCAGCAGCAGCCTGACTGCTCCATAACATCATCTAGTCGTTCCCACCACCAGGATCACGGTGCTTCACATTTATAAGCGACTTAAACATTTCGGGTGTGCTTTCTCCATACTCAAACTGCCTGTAATATACAGCAATCTGTCTTATGCTCTCGAGGCAATTATAAGCTCCTAGAGCTCAGGAAGAACCTCAGATACTTCCAAACCAACTATATAGCACTTTGTGTGAGGCAGATGGTTGGTAAAACTTGCCTGCTGACCCCTACCTGCTCTGATCAATATCTGATCAGTATCTGATCTGATGGTGTATCCGGCTTCTTTATCTTGTTCGTGAATCTCTGTTCTCCTTCCTCCTGGGTACCTTGAGAATGACTGGTCTATTCAAACCCTCTAGAAATTCCTCTGATGGTGGGTTCCCCTCAATCTGGAAGACTCAGCCAGACCCAGGTTGAAATGAACCATGCAGCCATTGTGCTGTGTTGTGCACTGGTATCATGGAAAGGAGAGGAGATGTAGAGGCTGGAAATCTCATCTCGGCTCCTCCTTTTATGCCAAGCTTGCCCTTCTCAGGGGGGAGGGGATCTGGCTGTGACCGTGTAGTGGGCACGGAGAGAACAGTGGTATGAACAGCCAACACGGACACAGAAAAGAGGCTCAAATAATCCAGAGCCTGGAAACTTCCAGAGGGCAGGAAAGTTTGGGCTACACAGACCCACAGATCTGGTGGGGGACGCGTGCACTTTACATAGCTTTAGGTAGATGCATACCCTGGGGCCCCAGCACCCATCTGAACTTACTAAATCCAGTGGTGAACTCCTCTGGTGTCAGAAAGCCATTGCCATCAGCATCTAGGGCATCAAACACATCTTCCAGTTCCTCCAGGCTGAGTGGTAACTCCTCGTGGAGCCTCTGAAAACAATCCAGACTGTACTGGTCAACACTCAGATCATCACGGAGGGCTGCCCCAATCCAGACCCCACGGTCAACACTCAGATCATCACGGAGGGCTGCCCTGGGACTGCAGAGATTTCTGCCAAAAATGTCTAGAGTTGGCCCTGTCCTACAAAAGACCTCTTTACCACCCTTCTCCCTCATTTGAATGTTACAACACTGACTATTTATTGGGTGCCTACTAATGTGCTAGGCAGTTTGCTAGGAGATTTATAAATAAATACATATTTATCAATATATTTATAAACATGTGTATTTATATTTAATTCTCATGACAATCCTTTAGGTGGGCATTATCCCCACTTTATAGACCAAGTGTGAGGTTCAAGTTCCCTGCCCAAAGGTCACCTAGCCAGTAAGTAACAATACCAGGAGTCAAATCCAGGTCTGATGCCAAAGCTGGCCCTCTTCACAACCATAAAGGATGGAAATGGTACAGGACTGACTTCTGTTGTAGGATAATAGCTGCACGGCATGGTGTTGTCAGGTTAAATGAGAGAGTAAACATAAAGAACATGGCTCAGTGCCATGTTCAATAAAAAGTAGTAGAGAGGCAGAGAAAGAGAGACACACACAAACAGAGCGATCCACTGACCCACCAAGGCCGCTCAGCAAGGGAATGACAGAGGAGTGAGGTTTCACAGTCAGTCTTCCCTGCTCTCCCCAAGCCCACCCTCGCCCCCCCCCCCCGCTGCCATGCTAGCTCCCCTGCTAAGATTCAGGTAGGGGTCACACTCTCAGAAGCCTTCCCTTACGGAGGCCACTCAATATCCCCGGGCCCTAGCACCACATTTGTCAGTTTCTGTGGGCATGCATTTCGATCATTTAGCTCTGAGGGGACGCTGGAGAAGCCCCCTTCTTCCGTGTAAGTGACCCACACCCATCTCTCCAGGCTGTGCCCCCCGCTTCTGCTCCCGACTGGCTCCCAACTCATTCCCGAAAAGATGTTAACTGCCGCTGGCTTAAGGTATCAATCCCCCCAAGAGCATGTGTGCTCTAAAGGGGAGTTGGACAAGATGGTGTGCAAGGAAGTTATAAATCAACACTGAAGCTGAGTCCTGGCCTGACTAGGACCACACAGGATGGGAGGGCAGGGACCAGCTGCTGGGACGAGGAGACAGTGGCTGAGTTCCTGATGCTTCCCTCTGGCCTCCTGCCTGATGTGCCATGGCCCCAGGCCAAGGCTGATTTGCATCGTTGAAGCAAGTGTTCTCTTATACCCTAATAATCTAAGTCTCCAAATGAGGACTCCCCAGGGGAGTTCATTATAGCCCAGCTGACTGTCCCCCTTCCTCCCTGGTACCTAAGGGACAGCCGCACAAAACTGCCGGCGTACCAGTGACTGACAGCTGAAGACAAGCACCACGGGGCTGTGGGAAAGAAGGTATATAGCCATCTGAACAATGAAAATGAGCTGGCAGGTGTGAAAGCCCATAACATAACTTGCAAGAACACTTGGCTTTATCCTATGGCAATCTTCTAGCTGATAAGCCATAAAGTTTAATTTGGCAGGTCGTGCATTAAGGGAGACTGGGATGCATTACAAAGTGGAAAGATAGGATGCTGTGGAAGCCATTTAGAAGAACTGAATTAAATATGAATGAGTTTTTTTAGAAAGGAAAGGAGTGAGAGTGTGTGCAAAGAGTCTAGAAGTGCCTCTGCTTAGCATACAGCAGAATCTCAGGCTTATTAACAATCCATAAACAGGGGCGCCTGGGTGGCTCAGTTGGTTGAGCGACTGCCTTCGGCTCAGATCATGATCCTGGAGTCCCAGGATCGAGTCCCGCATCGGACTCCCTGCTCGGCG